TCCAATATAAATAATATCTATATTTTCCCAAAATTAATTGGTCAAATTTGCAGTAATTACTAAGAAATTATAAAAAAAAAGGGTAAGAATCTCCTTTCTTACTTAATGAAATATTTCTCGNNNTGTTCCGAGTATGCAATCTCCCAATTTGGAGGTAAAGGCCCTTTTGAGTCGCTTACCATTTCATTGTTCAGCGAACCACTTGAAATACTACAGGCTTCTTCTGCAACATCATATAATTTATTTGACCAGTAAATTTCAAAAAAAAAGAGTTACAAACAACATGAAATTTATGGAATTCTTCATCTTTCCTTCTTTTCCCCTAATAGCCTATCAAGAAAAAGGGAAAAAAGCATTTCTTTGCGTATAATTTGAACAAAAAAAAGGTGAATTCAATAGCAACAAAAAGAATATATGTACATATCTGCGTAACAGATCTGTTAATAAAAAATATTCTCCATTGATTTCCAACACTAATTGCAGTACAAATCATGCTGCTCTCAAACAATGAAACGAAAAAAAAAGAAACCTATATCCACTAAATTCATCAGTAAATTAAGCAGAACAATAAAGCCAATAATATCAAAAGTTACTCAAAATCATACTACTTTTAATATTAATATTATTATTATTGTTTTAATGACTATTACCATAATCGTGACAGTAATATTATCAATTGCTAACAAACAGTAAAATTTAAAACTACAGTCTAAAAGAACATAAGCTGTATTCAAAATGTGTATAGTCGTTATACGACTTCATTAAACAGTAAAATTTAGGATTAATAAGGAGAAAAAAAGAAAGGTAAATAACTGGAAATTTTGGAAAATAACACAGAAATTTTCAATTATCAAAAAATAAACAGATGACTCATCAGCAAAACTGCTTTTTATTATCAACAAATTCCTCATCAACAGTACTGAACTTCAGTTGTACAACTACAACGACTACGGTATCCATCAAAATGATAAACCCATTCAAAATGTGTTAAAATTCTTTTTTGAAAACCAAAAAAGTTTTTGAAATAAATTCATATTTTTACCCCGTATAACGCATATGCAAAAACACATATCGATGAAATTCGAAGGAGTTAACAAAAACGGTTAATATGGCTATGCTGTTTGAACGCCCTATCACCACCATTAACAGTGAATAAACAAATATAGACATTTTATTATACCACAAACAACTTTAGCTACCCGAGGGTAAAAAAAGCAAAGTTTTGGGAATTTTTGACTACTATGACATAATAGATGACATGAAAAAAACCAAAAACGAGGGTAAGGACAATTTTTGAACAGATAAAAATCATTGGCATCAATGCAGCACGCAAAAACCAATAAAAATTTCCATTTGCAAAAGGAGAAATTCTTTTTTTTTCTTCTTCTTTAATGCAAATCTTCCAACGTCTATCGTATAACAAATAAAGATAATAGTATAACTTTCATAATTAAAGACAACACTCAACCAACAAAATAAGAACACCTGCATTAAGTGCCCGCCAGATTTCTCCATAAACAACGTAAGTTTCGTCCGGCTACAGAATCTTTGCCGGCAGCTCAGATGCAAAATTACAAAAAAAACTTTAGCCATCCAAGCGAAAACCGCTAAAATAAAAAAGCTCAACAACATGTCAACAACTGCCTTTGGTTTTTCCTACACAGCAGATGATTCTTATAGATCCAGCGTTAAAAAATGTAGATAAATCTGCTGTTGCCAAATTCTTTTATAAATCCCCGCTTTCCGTTGTTTTCTGATGGCCAGTGGCCCCTTAGAATATTCAAAAAAGAAAAGATTAGCCGTAATCTTAAGCTAAGTTTATGGATAGACTGTATTTGCATTTTGCTGAAACCATCGCTGCTGTATAACAGTTCCAAAATGTCAACAGCATGAAAACTACATCAACGACCCCATACAACAACAGAAACAGCAATAATTCTCACTTTTGCACTATTTTCCCTATAAAATAATACAACAAGAAAATCCCGACATGTAACATAACAAAAAAATGTACATGAAAAAAGATGTAAGACCTAAAACTTGCCAAAGAAAGCATAAAGAAGCAAGCATCTGCTGTTTGGAGCCAACTCAATGAATCAGTTGCACCAAGGAACAGAGGAAAGCGAAGTTTAGTAAAAAAAAAGCTTTTTTACCAAACCTGAAAACAACACTTTCTTCTTTCCTTCTTCACCAGTCCAAATGCATCATTTTTAAATAAAAAAAGAGAAAAGTTATCAAGTTAAAATTGGATTTCTTTCCTCCCTGTTTTTTTTCTTCTTCGTCAGTTCAAAAGAAAAAGTCTTCCAAAGTATAGCGTCAAAATTGCTTTCAACGCTCGCCGTCCCCTCTTCTGTTTGAAAAAGTTTGAAAAAATATTTCGTGAATGTTCCCTTCATCATTACAATTCAGTAAAAAGTAAAGAATAAACGAAAGAAAGAAAATGCGAAAAAAAGTAGAAAAAAAAGATGAAACAAGAAAGCGGAAAGAAGACACCAAATTCAGAAAACAAATTATTAGCCACCAAAACTTTTTCTTTTGCTTCTAAAAGCCAAACCAAAAAAAGAAGTCACAGACACAATTCTTTCTTTTGCAGACTTTAAACTGTTCAGGAGTCTATTCCTCATCTGAATATACATCAGAATTTTAAATTTACCTTATATGTACATATATAATATGCAGACATGCATATCAAAGAAATATTTTCAAAAAATCTGTGCCTAATCAAAACACAGATACAGACAACAGTCAGTATCAACGTTACGTCACATCTCAATGAATCCTTTAGCAAAACATTTACCGTCACTGAATCGGTTAAATTCCTTCACTCGCTTTCTCCCTCTCTCTTTCTCTCTCTCTCTCCCGCTTATCTTTCCCAAAAGATTCCTTGGAGATGCACAAAAATCAAGCGATAATGTTGGAACTGCATGAGGCCATAAATATTTATTCTAGTAATAATTTTGAAGGAAAAATAGGTACCAATAGTACCAATAGTATCCAGTACCGTATTTTCAGTGTAAGAAAGAAAAAAACCAATTGAACAACTTTTTCTTCCCAAGATATACTGAACGATCCATCACCATTGAAAACAACCAAACAATTAAAAAAATATTTTTGCTTTAATAGATTTACTGTAATATTACATTTCACAAAATGCCACTTAATTTGGTGTCCTTTTTAAAAAAACAAAAAAAAAATTACAGAATTATAAATGTAAAATCAATTTTTTCCTTTTCACCTCTAAAATGGTGCTTTTATTAAACCAAAGAGCAAACCGAGAGCAATGTACAACAAAAAGATACTGCAATAAACTACGTCCTCATCCATAGAATGCATATTATTGTCAGGTCGAAAAAAAAAAAAGAAAAAAAATTCCTCATATATCATTATTATTTTGCCGTAAATGAAAAAATCCCTTCACCCTTTCATCTTTTTATCTTTCTTCTTCTTTTTCTTCAAATCCAAAAAGGTGTTTGTCGTCTATCTTCTTAAGCCCTCATACAAAGACGGTTTTTATTTGCTGAAAAAACTGTTTTACGCCTATTCAAAAACGAACGACTTTGAAGTGGGAATTAAGGTTTCCTGGTCAATCAATGTCACCTCATCGTCAAAAAATCTTCTGCTCTTCCTGCTGCAACTCTGCTACTACTGCTACTTTGGTTGTTGTTGCTACCACAGCTACTGGTCAGCTCCAAAAGAAATCATAAAATCAAATAAAACTCAAAGACAATAGTTGTAAACAGAAAATGACCTTGTACAGTAACAGAAAATTAACGTAAGGATTACGGGTATTTTGAGGTAAATCAACAAAGCTAAAAATAAAACTGCAAAAATTTCTTCGAGTTTCTGACATTTTCCTCAATGGAAACTTTCATCGCACATAAACAACACACAAACACTGTAGCTACCGGTAAAACTAGAGCGCCGGCGAGAAATTCCATTAGTTCTCCAATGCACAATTTTGTGCAGTTCAAAAAAAAAAAAAAAAAAAAAAAAATCCCACAAAAAAAAA